AGACAACTCTTTTTTCCATCCACATTCCCATTTTTATAGTCCACATACTAGGTCTCATCAGGAACCTTGGTAAGTAACTCACCATTTCTGTGCTGCCACAAATGGCTCCAAGTGTCTGGCTTCAGAATCCAGTCCTCTGATAGCATAAAATAGTCACAGGAGAGCCAGAGAAGCCTGAGGCCACCAGAAATAAATGTGAGTGCTAGTTTCCCTGTGCCTCACATGTTTCTTGGATATGTGCAGCATCTGACACACCAGTAATAGGATAGCTAAACACTGGCTAAGCACTTATCGTAACTGTTTTATTTGAGCCCCAGGATAAATCTTGGTATGTGCAGGATAAGGATTATCATCATTCCATTTTATAGAGGAGACACTGAATCTATACCTGCTTAAAGTACTATGCCAAGTGAATATAGTTTTTGGACTAAAATTTAGTTTGAATTTTGATTTTTCACATTTTTTTCTTTCCATAAGTGTACATACAGACTACTTAGAATGTTTTCAGTCATGAATTATCAAAAAATTCATTCTATCTTTCCTTCATCTGCAATAATTATGAATGTTTAAAAGACCTTGTTTTAAAAGCCATACTTAGTGATCTGTGTTTTTAGGACTGTGACAGAAGGATGAGCCTAACTCTATAAACACCCAGCATACCCCCTTACTTGTGGTCTTGGAGAAAATCTGTATCTCTATTCATGACTTATTGGGTCTCCATCCATATCACACACTATTCCTGGCTTTCTATCTTTTATTTTTAAACTAGTGGTTATGGTAGGATTTTGTTTCCAAAGGGGACAAAAGTAATAGATTCCCAGGGTATTCTAAATCCTGAATTAAGGAAAAGCATTTGCTTATGGACCTCATCAGAGCCCAAATCTAAAGGTTGGTCTCCTCAGTGTAACCATTAGAACTGAGATGGGATGACTCCAAGTTTAAGGTCAGCTTGAGCCTAAGAGTGAGACCCTTTCTCAAAAAGCAAAGTAAAAATATGTAGAATCTTGAAATAATAAATCTATAACCCTTTTTTTTTTCTGGGATGCTCTGTGACATACTGGTTTATTACCTTACTGATAACTTTATATGAATTATACTTTTGAGACTAGGAGCATAAAAATACAACTAATGAATTTGCTGTTTTCCATTACTGCTATATTTTTCTCTGACTTAGAGTCATCATTAAAGGCATAAAACATGAGAAAACCCTTAACAATAGTTTAGGAAATTAGAATGAGAAAAATTGACTTCACTCATAATGAAAATTTATAAAGCATGTTATAATTTATCAAAAAATTCACCTCTTAATTTATTTGCTTATTGAACCATCTTGTTTGAATAGCACATGTTTTTCTGGAGATTAAAAAAAAGGCTTTAGGAAAATGATATAAGGTCTTTTGTGACTTAAAAATCATAGACTTAATATGTGCATGATGTGACCAGAATTTGAATTTGGGTATTATAGAGTAAAACTTATATACTATTGTTATTTAACTCTCTTTTATTCCATTTCTGCCTTTTCATGACAATAAAAATGAATAGCAGGTGCTTAATGGCAAGCTTGTCCAATTGTCTGTAGATAAGTGATTTCTTAAAATGAAGAAAGTGACATGAAGACATTCCCACTGCATCCACAGAAGGAATTCTATCTGACAAGCAGAGGCTTGATGCATGCTGAGCATTTAGCTGAGTGAAGAATAACATATTGTCATTCTGGCCCTAGAAATTTCAGCCAAAGAAATTAGGGCAATTCCCCAGTCACACTCCATAGCTGAAAACCTGCACTGTCACGGTCCTGATGCATTTCCCCACGGAGCCAATTACTTGGAGGAAGGAGACAAAGAGGGACATCCCCTTGAGGAACTGGCCCTTGCAGTACACAACTTCTTAACCACCAAGGGCCCCAAAGCTATTGCTTTCCAAAGATGACAAGAACCCCAAAGCAGGTTCAGAGAGGCGAGAGATCTGCCTCTGGGCTGTTTCCTGAACAGCCATGCTTGTGTAGGGATGTGTCTTGATGCACCTCATTTGCTTGGAGAAATCCTGGTTACCCCTCCTTCCCTGTGAATCTCCATTCAATGGGTGCCTACTTCTCATGATATTCCAAACACAATCTCTCCAGTGATTCTCTTGACTCCTTTGTGAATCTCAGCATAGTAAACCTCTGTATTTCCTTTGTTCTTTGTTTCAACACATTAACTAAAGCACTTTCTGAGATAAACATTCTACATAGCTGTATCTTGTTCGTCCTTGAAAAAGTGAGAGTGCTTTTAGGATTAAAAAGTTGGGGGGGGGAATCAAGGTGATGTGTTTGATACAAAATACAAGTTTCGTACAATATTTTCTGTTTTCTTCTTTCATTAATTAAATTGTGTCAAACTGATTACCAATGTACATTAGAGTGTAAGGCACATGTATCTCTATTTCCTTCCATACTGTTCCTATGCACTGTTAATTTACTTAATGCTGGTTCCTTCTTCTGCCAATTTGCAAATATATTTCACAATGTGCTTTGACAAAAACTCATTACTTGAGGTGAGAAGAGATGCTCCTGAGAAGAGCAGGAGATGGCCGCATAACTGGGATTTCAGATAAACAACAGATAATCTTTTAGTAGAAGTATGTTCCAAATAATCCGTACTTATATATGGGACAAACATACGCTGTATGCAATAGCATATGAAATTATATGTTAAAGGCAAATACCATATTGGTTTACTTGTATCTTATTTTAAATTCAAATATAACTAGATATTTAGTATTTTATCTGGCTCTCCTTCAGCAGACCAGTTGTAGCTGGACTATGTCTGAGAGAGCAGAGGGGGACAGGGGTGGGGGAGGTGGGTTGTTTTGTCCTGTCTTTTGAGGCAGGGTTGCCAGTAGCTCAGACTGGCACCTGGAACTATGTAGCTGAGTTGTGACTTTGAACTGATCTTGCCCTTCTGGTTCTTTTGCCCGAGCCTCTCAAGTCCTCCGCAGCATACGTTTTGTTTTGTTTTAAACTTGCACAGTTGGCAGAGTTCAGTCGTCATCTCTTTCCTTTAGAAATGACATATGAAGAGGCATTAGTTCAAATGCGTGTCTTCCCTTGGGGCTGCCCGACTCTGACACCTCAGTATCGGAGTGGATGATGAGATGTGGCCTGCTTAATAGTGTTTCATAAATCATAGCTTGAAGCTACTCACGGCTTCTTTTGGAGGCATGAATTCTAATGAATTGCTATTCTTTTGTGCTTCCTCCTTGGGGTGGTTTAAAGCTCTCAACTCCAAATCTAATCAATAAGTTTCTGGGTCTATTTAAATACTGACATTTGGAAATTTCCGAGGTTGCAATAAGCTTCAATGAGACAGAGGACAAGGCAAGGTAAATCAAATACAACTGCCACTGAAGTCCAGAAGAATAAAAATAAAAGTTCTCCGAAGTGTCAAACAGAGGCAGAATTCTTTCACAGTGTACGGCATATATCAATCAAGTCTCCAGGTCAAACGACATATGTTTAACTAGTGTTGGGTAGAGTTCAAATGGGTTACAGTAAAACAAAACAAAATCCAAATTCTGAATGCCAAACCAGACTTCTATTACACTTTAAACACAGCCTGTTTATAAGCATATGACGTTAAGCCGACAATCTTTCAGACAGTTGGATGAACTCTTTGGTGAAAGAAGCCATTTGCTTCACTTACTGAGCATCCATCACAGCCATGCTGCCATCTACTGGCTTTGGTTTTAAAGAAAGTATATACTTCCCACTCCAACCCAAGTCTCCATTTAAAGACTAATGGGGTTTGTGCTCAGGGTCTGAAGACAGAGGATCTAAAATAGTTTTGTTATCATTTTCCTCAAAATTCTACAATGGGGTGTGATAGACTAAAGATGGTGGCATATTCTTTGTTCTTCTTTATAATTAAGAACTGAAGTCTAATAGCCCTCCCTTAGATCTGGATGAGTTTAGTGTCTTTTTAGTGTCTTTCTTGATCAGTAGACTTCGGCATAAGTGACATGCTAGGACTCTCTGAACTAATTCATAAGGAAGCCTTTGATTCCTAGTTAGGCCCTTTTTTCCCCCTTCAAGACAGGGTTTCTCTGTGGCTTTGGAGGTTGTCCTGGAACTAGCGCTTGTAGACCAGACTGGTCTCAAACTCACAGAGATCCACCTGCCTCTCTCTGCCTCTGCCTCCAGAGTGCTGCGATTAAAGGCGTGCGCCACCAACGTATGGTTAGTTAAATGCACTGTGTAAGTATCCAATTCAACTGGAAAGATACAGGGGGCTACACATACACACTCTGGTAGACTGTTTCAGTAGAGTCCATCCTAGTCATTTCCACAGGGGTGGACAGGCCAGTGAAGCTATCTGGACCACCCAGCCCTGCCCAGCTCAGCCCAGCCCAGTCCTGCCCAGCCCAGCCCAGCTTCTAGCTGAATATGATCACAGGAACTCTAATGATGCCTGAGGGAACAGGGTACAACCCAGGCAAATGCCCTCTGGAATTACCGGCCTGTGAAATCCTGATGTAATAAAATACGTTGTTATTTTAGGCTACATTTTAGTTGGTAAAGAGGCAATCAATAGCTCATCAGAACAAACAGTGATAGAATGGAGTGTCTTGATTGGAGGGAGGGGCCAGGGAGGGGCATGAAACTGGAGGCAGCCATAAATGTCACTGGTAGGGATAAAAGATGAACTGGGGATTTAGAGGACCTGCACAAAGTCTTAAGAAACCAGAGTCACAGGGTTTTAACAGGCTGCTACCATTTTGGACATTACAACTCTGGCCCAGCTTCCCAGAGAGTCAGAGAGAATGTGCTGGGAAAGCCTGGCCTCACACAAATGCTGTGAACAGCAATGAACAAACACGGAAATTAAGGATGCATGCAAAGTGTGAAATATGTAAGAGGCAGCCCTCCTACCTATTAGACATCTCTCATTGGGTGATGTGAAATTACAGGGATCTCAGAGAAAATACCACAGAAAACACCAGCAGATTTTTTTTTTGTACTTTTATTGAAAAGGTACATTTAAAAAAATACACAGACATTTTACCATTTACATTGCAGATATAGGCCCTCTAAAAGAGATCACGCTATGTGTTGTTTTATGATACCTCTTGCCCCTGATATCACAAACATTCCAGTCTTAACATCAGTTGTTTTTTTTGGGGGGGTAGGGAGAAGGGCATAGTCACATGACCTGTGACGCAGTCACTGAACAGAAAGACAGATTGTTCAATTATAAATTATATATCTTCTGTACATTATTGCATCAGGGAGCCACAGAGGTATGTAGCATCATTACAAATGAAAAACAAGAGTTTCAAATGAAGATCATTATGTAGAAATACACGGATTCATTGTCTTCTTGCAGATGCACAGAAGGTGCAAAAAAAAAATGTGCAATTAGGAAGCTCTTTTTGTTTCTGTATACATTTGCTTAGCAACTCAAACCAGTGAGGGTGCTACAAAAATAAGTTAAAACAAAAATAGCAAACAGGTAGTAATTATAGCTATGTTATATGGCTTTCTATTTCATTTAAATATCTCCAAATAAAACATGAAATAAAGAAAATACATTATCTTTTGTTCTCTTAAAGAGAAAGGATTCCAAAGCTACTTTGCTTCCTAACAATTACACAGCAATAAAAAAAATTTAATTCGACAAGAGTTACAATCTAGTACTACACGGGATACAACAGTACTCAGGTCTAGAACAGTACACAGTCCCTGTGGACACTAGTACACCAGAGAGAAAAATGCCATGATCCATGGGGAAGATGGTATCCACAATTAAGCACTTGCGATGGACTTTTGTTCCACACTAGAATATGCCCGCTTGGATTCTGGAGTTATTTACAGACATCCGAGGAAGAGTCTACTGTTCAAGTCTGTCAGGAAGAGAATCCATTTTGTTTCTAAGCCAGATCACATCCATGGGAATACAGAGGTCAGTTTTCTTTTCTTTCCTTCTTTCCTTCTTTCTTTCTTTCTTTTTTTTTGATCAATATATTTTCACGAAACTTAAATATCTCAGGTACACCAATTGGCTGGGGTAGGACCGAGGGGGCACAAGAAGTAGGGGAACAGTGCCCTTGAGCCTGGCCTCCTTTTGTCTTTGGAGGTTGGGCTGGGCGGTGGCCTGCACTTTGTAAGTGGGTGGGTGGGGTGCTTACAGTCACACACAAAGCTTACACTGCTGAATCCTTTGGGCTTTTCTTCTATACCTTTCCACTGGCCTGGCCTGTTGCGGGCTGCAAGTATTTAGTAAGGGGCAAAGAGGATGGAGGCAGGAGTGGCACGGATGGGCCCGTGGCCAGGCCTCAGCAGGGCAGGAGGGATGGCTGCAGCCTGAAACAGAGAGGCAGATGGCCGAGGTGGTAGGGACAGTGCAGAGGACACAGCTGCAGCCGCCAGAGGAGAGGAAAGAAAAGTTGGGGCCAGAGGCTTCATCAGATCTTTCTGGAATGCAAGCTTTGCCTAAGAAACACAAGAACAGGAAATGGGGTGAGAATATTGTTTACAAGTCACAGCACCACAGAAATTTTCGCTAGTAAAACACTACAGAGCCAGTGAATTGAATTTTCAATATCTTGACTTTCAGAAGTTATGAAATGATGACTGTCACTGGGCTCAGTGACTCTGGGTATGGTTTGACTTTTGATATTTCAGTTCTGCTCTGGTCTCCGGAGAGACACCCAGAAGGGTCCTGCTTTGGCAACCAGCTCAACTCAAATCTCAGACAATGTTGTCTAAAGAGCTATGCAGCCCAGGCTGGCCTTGAACTTCCTCACCCTCCCAGAGAACAGAGATTATAGATGCTGCAACAACATCCAACATGTTCAGTTTTGGGTTTTGAGAAGTTCGACTCTTCACTTCTCTTAGACAGAATGCATTGAGGTTAGGTAATTGAGGTGTAGAACATTAGGGACCCATGAGGAGTTGAGAACATAAAATCAATTTGCACTTCTTGTGCTGTCCCCATGATGAGTAGTCCCTGAAAAAAATTATGGCTAAATCAAATTCTGTGCTTCACAGTGACTGTAAGTAGGCTAGAAACCTTCTCTACTTAAAGGGATCCCAGTGTGGACAACTCCCGGGAAGAAATCAATCCTAAATTTCTGTCTTTTGCAATCAGAGGCAGCTGTGCCAACTGTATTTGCTTAATGCAGGTACCACCTGCTTGCAGCATCCGCTGGTAGCTTTGGTGAGGCTAGAAGGTGATATAAGATCCCCTCTAGCAGGCCCATCTCAGCTTCACCTCAGATGGAACACCATGTTAGCCCCAGCCCCAGAGACATCATGAATCCATTCATCCATGTATTTACATACCTATTGCCTAAGAAACTGAAAACAGTACATATTGAGAGCAGGTGAGATGGGCTGGTTACCAACATGAATAGAGAACAATACAAGCACTTTCATATGTATATAAGCGCATACCAGAAAATGGGGAGATACTACATTTATAGGTTATGTTTGTCACAAAAGTAGCCCCATATCCCAGGTCTGACTGAACCTTTTCAGACTCCTCAGCACCACTTGTTCTTGTTCTAGGCCTTTAATTTGCTTTATCTCTTACAGAAGGGGGTCTCTGACAAGGTTTTAGTAAAAGAGGACAACATTAGCTCTTTAAAAAAGTTGTATTTTTATTTTAATTGTATGTGTGTACGAGTGCAAATGCCTGCTACATTCAGAAGAAGGTGTGGGATCCCTTGCCTTGAGTGCGGGAAACTGAAACTGGGTACTGTGCAAGAGCAGCAAGTGCTTTTAAGCTCTGACCTGTTTCTCTCCAGCACCAAGACACTGGCTTTTAAAGACACCCACTTTGCTGTTCTAAGGAAGATGACGTTAGAGCTCCCTGTAGTGGGAATTCAGCAGTTCCTTCTAACATTTCTGAACCTGTGAGATGGCTCAGCAGGTAAGGGCGCCTGCTGCCCAGCCAGACATGGCTCAGTGGATGTAGGTGCCTATGGCCAGACCTCACAACCAGAATTTGATCCCTAGGACTCACAATGTAGGAGGAGAGAACCAACTCCACCAAGTTTTCCTCTGACCTCCACATATGCACCATGGATCAAGCACCTCTCTCCCATGAGTCACAACCATTAGTGCTAGAACTCTAGCTTAGAAGGTAGGAAGTTCTGGATTAGATTCCAGTCCAGTCAATTCCATGATTAGCAAACAAACAAAAGCAAATAAATAAACAAATAGTGACTTGATTAATCATTTCCTAGAGTCTAGTGACCACCAGTCTGAGGGTCTCCTTAGGGCCACCATCCAATCCAGCAAGGGTGTCCCATAAAATAGGTGTGCAAAGGGAACTTACGGCTAAAATGCTTGGGCTCCTCTGGAGCTTGTTGTAGGGGCTGTATTTCGGCTTCAATGGTTTTCCTGCCACTCGGTCTTTATGCCTTCGGCTTGAAATGTGCTGAAAGAAGTGTGGCACATTAGCTGGCTCTCTGAAAGCTTTATTTCCTAGGCAGAGGTAGCTGATTTCTCCATTACCACCTAAGGATAGGACTTCCTTTCCATCCAGTCCAATGCCCCTTCCCACTAATGTTCTCCACAGTCTCAACAGAGTCACTCTGAGTTGCCACAGTTAGTCATCACAAAGCCTGTCTTCCTTGACCCTTGGCTAATGATGCATTGCATGCTCCTGGTGACTTTTGTGCCCATCTGTCTATCTCTATCTAGCCCCTGGGCTGGGAGATGAGAGGTAGGAAGTTCAGGCGCAGATATTGGGAAACGACCTTCGCTTCTACACAGCACTTGCAGACTGCTGCATATTGAATTTAACAGCGAGCACACAGAGAAACATTTATAGATGAGGGGCCATAGGCAGACATGACCTAACACGGTACGTATGTCTAATTTGAGCTACCTTACCTGTTTGAGTTGAATTTCTGAGTTAACATGCACATCACAGATTTCACAATGAAATGTCTTGTTCTGTAGTCCTGAACCCTTACTGCCATTCTGCATCTTTAATCTTGACCCAGGTCTTGGATAGGACTTAATTGGACCAGCTCCATTACGAGCCTCAACCATGGTCTTGTGTTTAGATCCTAAAAAGAAAGAGGTACATATTTCGTAGCTATTTAAGGACTGGGGGCTGGGATGGAGATGTGGTTCAGTTGGTGAGTGTTTGCCTGGCATGTGTGAAGACCTGAGTCTGATTCCCAGCACTTCATTGTGTTGGTGTGGTGGTTTATGCTTATAATCTCAGTAGCTGGAAGGCAGAGGTGGAAGTGCAACATTACCATCATCCATACAGCAAGTTCAAAGCCAGCCTATGCTACATGAGACGCTACCTAAGCAAACAAACAAAAATTAATTATAGAAACCTTTTATTTTTCTTCCCTTTTTTCCTCTTTCATCACCTTTTTTCTCCCCCCTCCTCTCCTCTCTTCCCCTTTTCCCAATTTCTTCTCTTTTCTTTTTTCTTCTCCAGTTTTCTTTGAGATAGGATCTTACTATGTATCCCAGGCTGGCCTTGAACTTACCTTGTAGCCCATGCTAGCCCCAAACTTGTGATTCTCCTGCCTGAGCCTCTTGAGTGCTAAAATTATGGGCATACACCACTACATCTAGCCCTATACAATGTTCTCTTTTCATTGATTTCAGTGACTGAGCAATATATTCCACCACATTGGGCTACCTTAATTTATTCAGAATTTTATTACTGATGAATTTTTATGTTGTTTTAGAGTTTTTGGTGTCATCATATACAGCAGTGACTAGTCTACACAAATCTTTGACTGTATTTCTGTCGATTCATTGAAATGATTTTTGGTAAAGTAGTAGCTGCTTTTTGATGAAATATAAAGCATGCTTTGTCTCCACATTACTTTTGCTTTGCACTTACACAGTCATTATGACCATACTTTCCTAAAATCGATCCTTTAAATTAAAGAGAGACAGAGACAGAGAGAGAGGGATAGTGAATAAACATGGAGTGTAAGCAACAGATGTGATATTCTGGTGGAAGAGCTGGGTTTGCTTATCAACACTATTTAGACTCCAAAGAGTGCCACTAACCTGTGTTGTGTGCCTCCAGCTGTGACAGAGAGTTCACAGCCACTTTGCATAGTGAGCAATAGAGTAATTTTTTGGCTTTTTCTTCTTCTGATTCAGCAACAGACCCTGGAGCGCCATTTGTGCTCTTGGAGGGAGAAGTGATGGCTGCAGGTGGCAGGGGTCCTGTTCCAGATTTGAGGAGAAAGGAGCCTCCTTCAGAGCCCGAGGGCTGAGTGGAACTGGTGGCTTTTAGTTTCCCTTTGTCGTCTAAGGAAGACACACAGAGGTGTTATTAAAGTCTCTCATACCATACAGACCACAATTAGAAACAGGAATTTGATTTCCATACCAAATAGAAAAAAAAAATAGGTTCTTTTAAAGTTTAGCACAGATTTTAACTTATACAGCTTTATTTAAACAAAACCCCACCCTGTTAGCTTCTACATCAGGTCACCATAGATGATGGTGATCTATGAAGCTTGACTTTGGTGATTTTTCTGGAATCCTTGAGTCGTAAATCATGCTCTAAGGAAGGTTTTACTGTAACATAATCAGCTAGTCTTCAGCATGGTGACAAGACGTGATGGCAACATGAGATAAGTCATTAGCCTATGTTGGTTTTTGCTGACTACTTCTGACTTAGTTGTGGTATGGGTATGAAATTAAAACTTAACTTTCACAGCAAAACTTTACCTTTGTATGCTTGGGTAGAGGGAAGGAAAGAAACATGGTTAACTGTAGTAATGATTAGTTAAGTTTGTCCCACTTTCTGAATGGCAATGCACTCTACCCAAAACATGGGGGAGTTGTGTTCCATTCTTTAGGCTCAGGAATTACTGCCCGTCTGAATAAAAAGTTTTAAATAATCACATCAACCACGGTCACAACGTATTAGTCAAATAATTTAAAGACATCTTGACATTTTTAGTCACACAATTACTGAGGGCCTATTATCCTGAAGGGCCCTGAGCATGCTGTGAAGGGTCATAGTGACTGTGCTAGAATCCAAGGCATTGTTCAGTGACTCCCTTGCGAAGAAAAACCGGAGTCTAGTAGGCAACAACATATCCATCCCATGCTTATTTCTAGTAGAGTCGGAGCTCTTAGAGAATATCTAGAGATATACTAACTAGCTTGCATTAAGAAAGGAAGACTGTGTGAAAAAATATTTGTTGATGGTCCTAGGCAATTCAGGACTGCATACAACTGCTTTAGATGACCACCAATTTGTTTGTTTCTGTTTATTCACAAAATTCTGCACGTGGCAAACAAAAGCTTTCAGTATTTACTATAATGATTTTAAAAGCTTTCTTAATCTGGGGACTCACCAGTTTCCCATCTTTCTCCCCCACATTGGGTCCCTGTCAAGCAAAGCACCTCTAGGATTGAGTCTTGGAGAACACACAAGTGGCAAAGGAATGTGGCCGTCTTCCTATGGGGCTGTGGGGCTGCAGTGCTGTGGGAGCTGCCCAGCTCTTGTGATGGACACATGGGACTGAACACAAGTTACCTCCTGCTCCAAGTTTTTCATTTGTTATTTCATACAAATTGGACCTGAGAGCCAGTCTTCCAACACTGATCCACTCACTTACTCTTCCTGATGTTACTATATTAGGTTCCTGATATTAATGCTCCCCATGAACTTTTATGTTTATGTCAAACTTTGTAGCTTACCAAGTACTACTACAATTATTCTCTGATAGCAAACTTGTGGGATAGGCAAGGCTGTAAATCAGATTTTTTTTTCTTATTTTCAAGGTGAGGAAACAGAACTTCATAAATGAGTATCATGTTTCCCATACCTGGTCTTCATGTGGTACACTGATCTTTTTTGCAAAATGGGGAAGTGACTTAATATATCATCATTAATGTTATATATGCTGTCTTTTTTAACAACAATTTAGTTTTAAGTCACTTTTAATTTAAAATGTTTGAGAATTTCATACACACATGGATATAGTATTTATATCCTTTCCACCTTCACTTTTTCTTTATTTACACACACACACACACACACACACACACACACACACACACACACACTGCCATTTATTTTTCTTAAGTGACGCTACTGTACATTGTGCTGAATGTGCTTCAGGTTATAATAATAAGATGTATGAAATATATACACATATATATATATATATATTTCTATGCTTATTTCTTTAAGAAAAAACTAAGCATGGTTCCTTTTTTAAATTTCCTTTTAAAATTGTTAATTTATTCACTAACAAATGCATGCTGACATCATGTTAATTGCTGACAAGGTGCTAGACACTGAAGAGAATAGTAAGTAAACCAGGTACAGACTTGAAGAAAGTTATGGAGCAGCCAAGGAAATGACAGCCATTCTGAGGTTCTAATGTATGGAAGAGACTAGTGAGAGGCAATGGATGCCTAGAGCAGAAATGGCTCCTCTGCTTGGGAAAGAAGGGGCATTGTTCATTAATAAGGAAGTGGCATTTTGGAGTTTTTAAGATCAGATTTAGATAAGCTTAGGATGAGGGCGAAAAGGAAGAGGAAATGGATGGTCGTAAGCCAAAGCACAAGGGCAGGGGTAGGGGTTTAAATATCTCATGGTCTCAACCCGGTTGCTGAGTACAGGACTGACTTCAAATGTGGGAAATATTACCATAAAGGTCAATTGAGCCCAGAGGCAGAGATTCACCAATCCACTGAAATATATACTGAGGACAGAAACCTAACCTTTAACAACAGATTGAAATGTAAAGTATATTTAATGTTAGTGTGATTTAGATAAATTATTGTTTTCCTTGAGATAGTCTAGAATCAGTTCTTGGAACATAAGGAAGAATTTTGACTTTGGAAATACGCACATGATTTCAACATAGTAAGGGACTCTGATGAGAGATTGAAACATGCTGGTCTACAAAGCAATCTCTAACTTCAAGAAAATGACTGCTGCATTTACATATTTAAATCATGGCACTCTCCCAGGATGTGTGAACTTAAGAACAGCAGGGCCTGATTTTATTGTTTCCCCTCTCAGTGGCTTGATATCACAATCCACTATGTTATTTCTCTTTGCTAAGTGACATTTTTAAAAGCTGAGTTTTAAAATGGATTTGAAGGTTTAATTAATGTACTGTTTACTTCTGTTTCCTTTAATAAAGATGCATGTCATCTGGAACTTTGAGTTAATGTAAATTCCATTTTCAAGTATTCCCTTGCCTAATGTTAATTAGCAGGCCTTCTGACTGTCATAATTATTTCCTGTCTACTCACACACTCCTTGTAAGGGTTTATGCTGCAGGACTTGGAAGCTACAGGACCTCTCACCCACTTTCCAGAGCTCTAAACACTTACAGACTCTTTCCCGGGGGACTTCGTTTATATCCAGTTGCTGAACCACACAAAGTCAGCCATCAATACTTGTCATCCTTATTTTCCACTCCAAAAACTTCACACAAATAAGTTCACCTTGTTCAAAGTTAACACTGTATTTCATAAATGATACCTTGGAAGGCTAAAAATGTACTAACACAGAAGATACAAGTTTCTGGATACAGTGCTAAGAAATGGATCCAGGTACATAGAAAGATATAGAACTTTGAAAGCCCCACTAAATTTTTATTATTCTATTTGCAAGGGTTACTCTTGAATTTGATATTATTAGTGTGATAATTTTTTTTCCTATCCAGGTTTCAATGGTGTATGTATCTTTATATTGACAAATCTATGCTCACTATAAAAATTTAGAAAATAAAGTTAGATGACATTAAAAAAATTAAAATCACCCATGAGTTCACCAAAAGTTGTACATCACTGTTTTTGATACAAATTCTAAAGTAGGAGAAACCATTTCTACCTATACTTTTATGTTTAGTCTGAGTCATTTTTTGCAATCTCCATAGGCCATAAAGTGCATGTATTTCAATCCATCTCTACATTTGTGCAGGCAGATACAGACTGTCCCCACCACCCAGAAGGTTTGCTTGAACTCCTAATCAATTAAGAACTCTGAAAGGTAGCCACTATTCTTGCCTCTATCAAATTATACAAGTAACTAGTTTAAAACCTCATATACATGAATTGACACAATGTGTATTTCTGTGCTATTACATAGAGAAGTTTTTTTTTTCCTCACTGCCAAGTAATGTCCCACAACACATGTCTACACTATAGTTTATCTTTTGGATACCAATGCACATTTGGAATGTTTTCAGTTTTGCCTATTTTGAGTAATGTTACCATGAGCATTGTTCTTTTGTAAACATAAACATTAATTTGAAGCCAGTAGCAATGCATAGTGGAATCTCTGGGACAAAAGACTCTCATCTCTCTACCTTTAGTAGGTTCTAAACAGCTTTCTGAAATAATTGTACAATTTATCTTCTTATTAGGAACATATGAGAACCCCAGTCTTCCTGCATTCTCTCTGGGACCAGGTACTGAGGTAGACTACAGAGAAAGAGGTAAGGGCATGCTACAAGAGGCTAATTCCACAGTAGATCTGCAGGGCAGCAGGGTTTTTGGTAAGAGCTTAGACAACAGTAAAAAGCTAAGACCTTGCTAGAGCTGGTTAGGACCACCATGGCTTCCAGATAGCTGCTAACTTGTTTTTTAAATAAACTGTGTCCCTACATTAGCATTATGGACTAATGGTTCTCATGCCACACCTGAGAAACTCATAGAAAAAGACAGGAAGGGGAATAGCCTTTATCTCAAGGGAGTCTCAACCCATCTGGGAGTTCCCTGCCTTTCCCCCATCTTGGCTCATAAGGAATGCTCCCCTCCGTTAAGCAAGGATGGAGATGTGCTGACCAAATTCCTGGCAGATGACACAATCTGAGGATGTCATTTTACTCCTTGAGTGTGTCCTTTCACTGTATAGTAAGCCTCTCCCCCACTTCCTTACTTTGTTGTCTCTTGGGATTTTTTTTTTCTCCCACAATGACAAAAGCACTGGGTGGAGGTCTCAGTTTTCCTGTCTGTCCTGAGATCTCTCCTGGCCTCACCATCCCAATACTGATATCAGAATCATAATCACTGCTGATTTTAGCAACTTGGTGGAGGTTAGTATTTTATTGTAATATTGATTTGTATTTATTTCCCCCACTGACTAGTGATATTGAGCACAGTTCCCTATTTTATTAATTGATTGCATGTTTTCTCTTGTAAAGTGTTTTTTGAGACAGGGTTTCTCAGTATAGCCCTGGCTCTCCTGCAAGTTACTATGAAGACCAGGCTGGCTTTGAATTTATAGAGATCCACCTGCCTCTGCCTCCTGAGTGCTGGGATTAAGG